ACACTAGTTTACATACACCCACTTACAAGGTTTCATTTTATCTGTGTACAGGCAACAATGTTCATATAGTTACTGCATCCTTAGATAAGTACACCCACCCACAAACGCACACACCAACACCCACACACAAACACACCCACACACAAACACACCCATACACAAACACACCCACACACACACACCCAACACACAAACGCACCATACACAAAACACACCCACACAAACACACCACACACAACACCCATACACAAACACACCCACCCACACAAACACACCCATACACAAACGCACCCACACACCAAACCCACACCCACACACAAAACACACCACACACAAACACACCACACACACAACACCACACACCACACCCACACAAACACACTCACACACCAACACACCCACACACAAACACCCACACACAAACACACCCACACACAAACACACCCACACACAAACACACCCACACACAAACACACCACACACACACCACACCACACACACACACCACACACAAACACACCAACACCCACACACACACACACCACACCCACACACACACACCCACACACAAACACACACAACAAACACAACACAAACACACCCACACACAAACACACAACAAACGCACCCATACACAAAAACACCCACACACAAAACACCCAACACAAAACACCACACACAAAACACACCACCACAAAACACCACACAACACCCACACACACCACCACCACACACAACACACCCCACACACAAACACACCCATACACAAACACACACACACACAAACACACCCAACACACCAACACAACACCCACCACACAAACACACCAACACAAACGCACCCACACACAAACACCACACCCACACACACAAAACACACCACACACAACACCCACACCCACACACACCAACACCCACACACAAACACCCACACACAAACACCCACAAAACACACCCACACACAAACACACCAACACCACACACACCACACACCAAACACACCCATACACAAACGCACCCCATACACAACACAAACACCCACACACAAACACACCACACACAAACACACCCACACACACCACACACCCACACACAAACACCACACACACACACCACACACACAAAAACACACCCCACACAAAACACACCCACAACACCCAACAACCCATACACAAACCACCCACACACAAAAACAACACCCATACACAAACACACCCACACACAAATACACCTATACACAAGCACACCCACACACAAACACACCCACACACACCAACACCCACACACAAACACACACACACACAAACACCACACACAAACACACCCATACACAAACACACCCACACACACACCCATACACAAAACACCCACACACAAACACACACACACACACACAACACACCCACACACAAACACTACCCACACACAACACACACACCCACACACAAACACACACACACACACAAACACACCCACACACCACACCCACACATAAACACACCCACACACACCAACACCCACACACAAATACACCCACACAAAACACACACACACACACACACCCATACACAAACACATCCACACACAAACACACCCACACACAACACACACCCACACACAAACACACCCACACACAAACACACCCACACACACCAACACCACACACACACAAACACACAAGCCCACAACACACAACACACAACACACAAACACCCACCACACAACAAAAAACCCACCCACACACAACCACACCCATACACAAACACACCCACACACAAAACACACACCACACACAAACACACCCACACACAACACACAACACACAAACACACCACACACAAACACCACACACACACAAACACACCCACACACAAACACACACCCACACACAAACACACACACACCAACACCCACACACACACACACACACACCCACACACACAAACACACCACACACACCAACACCCACACACACACCCACACACAAACCACACCCACACACAACACACACCCACACACAAACACACACACACCAACACCCAACACACCACACACCACACACCACCAACACCCACACACCACACCCACACACCACACCCATCACAAACACGCACCCACACACACACACACCACACACACACAAACACACCCACACACAAACACACCCATACACAACACACCCACACACAAACACACCGCACACAAACACACACCACACACAAACACACCCATACACAAACACACCCACACACAACACACACCACACAAACACACTCACACACAAACACACCCACACACAAACACACCCACACACAAACACACACCCACACACAAACACACCCACACACACCAACACCCACACACAAACACACCCACACCCACACATAAACACACCCACACACACCAACACCCACACACAAACACACCCACACACACACACACACACAAACACACAACACACACACACCACACACAAACACACCCAACACAAACCAACACC